TGATATAATACGAGAAAATATATACGCGAAAAATAAGACAACAGATTTACGTGGTTCACCAATAAATTGGCTACGTCCACGGGAAGAGGGGGAGCAGTTTTATTATGGAGAGGCAAAAAACAGAATTACAGAATAGGGTTTGCCATAGCGTCTATATATAGTGCTAAGACCCCCGTCCTTTCTGTTTGTAGCGGGTCTGATTCAAGGCATTCAACAAAGCTGTTTTTATTAAGCTCATCCAAACGGACCCTTAATACTTGAAAAACCCAAACCTATCCGGTCATGTACACCCCTATCCAAGGTGATAAGAGCATTAAGGGATAAACATGTCTCTATTAATTTGGTGAACTTTTGGGGTAACATCTCAACACTATAAATAGAGATATCATTCACCATTTGAAAAACACACTTGAATAAAAAGAAAAAATCTTCTCATCATTTCCATATCTTGTCTTCTTCTTTCTACATTATAGTATTCCGAGCTTATATTTTATAACAGAATATAATTAATTACTTTTTGAAATCATAAACTTAAGTACTGTATATTAATTAATGAAGCTTGAACTTTGTAAATCTTGATATGTAGAATTTATGAACTAATTTTGAATTTTGAAAGACTTTACAAGTCTTCAAAAATTTTTGATTTATGTTTTGAAGGTTTAATTAAGTTGGTTAGTTTATATTTTGTGTAGCATGTTAATTACATGTTTTGCTTGAATAGGTTGAATTCTTTCGAAATTGAATTTAATATAATTTGCAGGTGGGTAGCAGATTTCTGCTGGAAAAAGAAAACAGAAAAAGTAATTGACATGGAGCTATTGTCCGTCACTTTTCTGCCTTTTTTTTCTCTCTTTTTTTTTTTTTTTTATGTTTCTGGGGTTTTCAAAAAGCAACGGATGGCGTCTTTGTCCGTTTCTTTTCAAGTTTTTGAAAATTATGAATTGAAAATAAACGATCGTCTGCGTCGCTCTTTGGAAATAAAATTCTTTTTATAAAAAAAACGATTTATACAAACGATACAATCCGTCATTTTTGAAAAGCATCGAGCCAAAAGTTACGAACTCGACTGCATCGCTTTTTGGTCAATTTTGACAACAGAAAAAGTGACGCAGTTCGTCGATTTTTGCCTATTTTAGTCGTGAACACCGAGTATTGGTAGAATCAATGATCATTTCCAATATATTAATTATTAATGTAACAAGTAACTGCAGAACAGTAATACATGTCAAAACATATACAAACCGTTTTAAAATAAAACAGATTTCAGATCACAACTTTGACTTAACTAATGCAAGAAACATTCCCCCACATGATCAGAAATGCACATACAAGGTCCTCTCATGAAACACTCAAATTGTTAGTATACAAGTACGGTATAGGAACCAACTATTAATGATTCATGTCACACTTGGTATTTGAAACAACCATTTATATGTTGTACCGGCGTGATACCCGAGTCAATTATCAATCACAATCACAATGGACAACCAACTTGAAATCATAAGTAAATAAACAGGTTCATTGCACATGAAGTCATTACACATTAGCCTTCTAGTTCACCCTACATGCATCACACAATTAATGCTGCAAAAATAGTTAACATGCACACATTACATACTTTGAAAAATAAAGAATCCATCACCTACCTAAAAAATCACAGAACATGGAAGATTCGATAAAATTTTCATAATCATTAGAGGACTTAAAAATACCCTAGAAATGATAATAGAACATCTAAATAGCATCGAATCGGCTCATACGCCTATGCTAGGCAGACGTTCTAATTCAAATCAAATAAGTATCAAGCATTTTTAATTCCTAATTTTTTGGACTGATGACCATGATGATTTCAAAGAAGTGGTCGAGATACTTGGAACATTAAGGTGGAGGGAAATTGTATGTGGAAATTTCAGAGCAAACTTAAATATCTTAGCAAGAAACTCAATTAATGGTCCAAGAACCAAATTGACAATGTTTTTTATGAGGTAGAGAATCTCATCTGTTACATCCTATTTTCGCACGGTATTTGGTTAGACATTATTTTATTTTTCAGAGTCAGTCACTTTGAATTAAGTTATGACGTTTCAGGTCATCTCTTTTTAGTCCCTAATCAAAAGAAATGACTCTTTATTTGGTATGCAAATTAGAAATTGGAATAAGAAATTCTATTGACTGAGAGAAAGATATTAGGCATCCCACGAGTCTCGTAATTTTAACACAATCACTTTACTTGACTCATACTTGAATTAAATTATTATTTTTTCGGATAAATTATGTTGCAGGCCGTGATTTGCTCATAATTTTTTTGTTGTTGAATTTTGTTAGTCTTAAATCAAATGCACAACTACATCACCTAATATTTTATGTCTACAAATTTTAGTATGAATTTTATAAAAGTTAACTATTAAAAATAATTTGATCAAGGTGTGTCATCACATCCTTGAATTTCTTTTAGTGTCTCATAAAAATGAGATAAAACAGTTTAACAAAATTTTGAACCTCGCAATTCTATCAAAATCAGCGTTACACTGTAATAATTACTTAAAAGAAAAAAAATCAAAATGAAAATTTAAAATTTAAATAGCCACAATATAGTACTCCCTCTATCCTTATTTAGTTGTCTACTTTAGAAGTGACACTTCAGTTACAATTTTACCTTAACTTAAAAGATCATGCAACTCCGAAAGTATAATAAATGTATTTTCTAGATCCAAAAAACATGCATTACAATTTAGTAGTACTAGAAATTTTCTAGAATTAAATAAGGGCATATTAGGAAAAAATTATTGTCCTTTCTTGATTTGTTAAAATGAACAAGTAAATAGTGACAGATATAAAAAAAATATGAACAAGTAAATAGTGACAAATATAAAAAAATATGAACAAGTAAATAGTGACAGATAAAGTATTGAATAAAAACAAAATTTCTCCTTTCTATCGTTAAAGGTGGAGAACTAATTAACATCATAGAAAAAGAAATAAAAGACCAAGTGAACAACATTATGAAGAAGAGGAGAAATGAAAGAAACTCAAATGAACACATCATTAACCTTTGCATGAAGTTTGGAGGTATTTCACTCTCATGAATACAAATAAAGAAGCACATAAAACATTAGTCTTGATCCAACAAAATAAAAACATGAAAATTAACATCATCTATGTTATCATAATCTCTCAAAATATTTGTCCACACCTCAATCGATTGATCGATCGTCTTTAATTATATTTCTCACTCATTCCACATTGAGAAAACACCAGGATTTGATCCTTGAACTGATGACTCTCCTGACCAACCATTGTAACTTGGCATATTATCATAATCAACTTTAACAAGTGCAACTTCTTCATGTGCACCACCTCCTCCTCCATTATTACCTGAAGTTGAATTTGAACTCATTCCACCAAGTCCAGGAGAATTACCAAAATACCCTCCAGTACTATAACTTCCACTTGAACTACCTTCATTGTTATTCATCAAACCATGCAAGAAAACTTGATTATTCTGAAGATAATTGTTGTATAACGACACTTGATGCGAGTTGTTCTGAAGTTGAAGTTGTGTTTGGAGATAACTCTGGTGAAATTGAGACGACGAATCTTGAATGTTGTATTGTGAAATGTCATGATTTTGGAGAGTCAACAAAGGTTGAGAATTGTCAAAGGATGGTTGATGTTGTTGCATTAAAGGATATGCTTGTAAAGGATTTGAGTTTCCATATTGAAAACTTGAGTTTAGAGCCATCATTTCCTGATCTCTTTTTCTTGATGATTCAAGTGCTTGTGCTTCTTTTAGCCTTTTTGCTGCTCCTCCTCCAATTGGGAGAGTGTTGCTTTCAAGTATGGCTTTAACATCGTAACGATTCATATCGAAATTTGTTACAGCATTTAACCCTCTGAATTTTATTGCTGCTATGTCATATGCTTCTGCTGCTTCCTCCTCAGTAGCTGCAATCATACAATATTCTCTTCAAATTAGAATTTTGCTCATGTAGACAATTTTTTTATTTTGCCTTGCTATTTATTCACAATGTTTAATTGCTTATAGGTATATTTTTGATAATTTGATGAAGATAAAATTATGTTTCACTAGATTGTAGCGTAAAAAAAGTTGGAACTCTAAAAGTAGTGTATTGAAGCTTCTATGAATTTTAATGCAATCATGTCATGTCACCTAGGGTAAAAATTACATGTATATTCTCATGAAAAGAGCAACTAAAATACCACCTCAATAACAAAATATTTTCACTGGTGGACTCATGATTTTAATCAATGGGATTTCAAAAATAAAACAGAATACTTGAGATTTGAACTAGGAAGTCGTGTTAATTTCTCACATATACAAGTCTCATCCCGGAAATACAACATTCATGAAGGTGAGAAGAATCTATCAACGAATGGATCAATCAATTCTACCCAAGACATGATAGACAACTCACCTAATCAGACGGTAGACTCTACGGTGAGTGAGAAAGGACTCGAGGGTGAATTTTAAACTCTGAGTCAACCCTAGATTTGCCCCTGTATATTTCTCTATCTTTTAGGTTACATATAAGTTGAAGAATTACTTTTATAATTTAGCTTAACAATATGATTGATTAAATACTTTTACATTATAATATCCATAACATAAACTCTAAATTTATTGAAGCAATTTGTTAGTCACTATAGAATATATTTGTTAGTCATTTTGATCACGAAAGTGATTTTTTTTCAGTGACGGATTCAGAATTTTCACTTACTAAAAGTTCCCAAGTAGAGATCTTTATTTCCAGCAACTCTTCCTATCCTTGCTTGCCATCTCCCATGCTGATGGTGCCTGCTCCCAGATATGTCATGAGAAAAAACCAACAATAAAAGATGAGAATAAAATAATAAAAATAAAATAATTATTTTTCTTACTAAAGTTTTATTTGAAAAAGAAAAAGAAAAAAAGGAAACAATACTATGAATACCTTGTAACACCCCGATACATGGATGCACCCCTTGAGAAGCCACTACTCTTCCTAAATATATAGCAAGAAAAATCGAATTTAACTTAAATATACTGATAGTATAATAATCGTTTTGGACTAACAATGTACAATCACTTGTAGTCATCTTTACGTTATTTTGATTTGACAGTGTAAAAAAATGTTATATTATATATGTCAAAATTAAAAATTTGTAACACAAATATATATATATGAAGTTAAAAGAAGTTGTCAGTGAAAAGAAGATATGGTCAGCCTCTGCCAAAATCTTCTACTTCTATTATTGTTCCAATAATTGGTATCTATAAAAGAACACTAGATTACTCTGACTATATATTTAAAATAGAAAGTCTATAACATTAAAAAGTAGTAAGATTTAGTAGATGGAATATATAATAACATCAATTTAATTATAAAAGGTTCTGACCTTCTTATTGCAGCAACAAATTCTTGCCTTGTCATATGCTTCATGTCTTCTAATTCTTTCTCATAGTTGCTAATCTATACTCATCAAATAAATAATTAATATACATGACCATAAATAATCAAATCCTTTAATTTTAATTAAATATTACTACATTTATTATATTATTAGATTTTAAAATTGTTCTAAGAGTAATTAATTACTGGAAAATTTGTAGTGGTAGATGTTCCCCAATATTTCAATGCAGCAAGATCATAAGCCCTAGCTGCTTTCTCCTCCTTGTCATACCCTCCTACACAAACCAAAATAAATAACAAAAAAAAATGAGAAAATTATGTTCTAAGAAATAATAGGACTCTTCAATTTTAATCACCACTGTCAGATTCTTCAAAAATAAACTATTCTTGGAGAATCCAACACGCATCTATTGACATTGTTGAAGAGTCCGAGCAAGATAAGGAAAAACAATTGAAGATTGACCAAATAGAGTGTTAATTAAGTTGCTTACCCAAATACACTGCAAGTGAATAACAATAGCATCCACCCCAAAAATGATGACAAAAAATTAGTTAGAAAAATTGATTGGAAAAAAAATTTGCTTAAAGAAGATTGTTGATGATTGAAATTTCACCTTGACGACCCTTTCTTGATTGTCCTTCCCTTCTACAACTATTATCCCATAGATGTGCTTCATACCTTCCTGTCCATCTATGTCTACATTTTCTCAAGTCCAAAACGAGCACGGCCGTCATTGAGAAAGACGAAAGAAAAAGAAGGAAACCCTAAGTTTTTTTTAAAAAAAAAAAGAAAAGAAAAAAAGATTACCTAGTTACACCTCTATAAATTGATGTTCTTTGGCCAAAAGTATCCAAAGTTCTTCTAGGTGCAGCTTCAACAATACTAGTGTTATTACTATTTTCAGCAGTTGCACTCGCGGTAGCAGCGTTTGCGCTAGGGCTAGCACTTGTTTCACTAGTTGAACCTTTTCCACTCCCCATAGACAATGTCAAAGATTGAATATTACAAGCATTTTCTTGAAGATCATAGTTGTTTGTAGGAGGAGGAGCTAAAGCATTTTGCATTGATGGCATAAGATGGTTGTTTTGAAAGAGATAATCCGAATCATTTGCTTGGATGTCATTGTAAGGGATTAATTCAGATTGATTTTCAGATTTGTTCATTCCAAGAAAATCAGCCACCTTTGGAACTTCATTGCTTCCTTGTGTGTTCATTAAGTTCCATTCTACAAAAAAAAAATATGAATTAGTACTGATGAGATGGTCGCACACTTCAACATTCAGAACAGGGATGAATATTTGTTCAGAGTAATATCTTAGTATACCTTGGTTTTGGAAGGGATTGTCAATAGTTTCATTGACTAACCCTAATGAAAAATGATGAGATTGAGCATTTTGAAGATGAGGAGGTAAAGAAGAATGAGTGGGAGAAAGAGGAAAAGATAGCCAATTGTTTGAATTCATTCTTGAAAATCTCTTGAATTTAATTTCTTTTTCAAATGGATCAATTTCCTGCACATGTCCAAAAAAGGGAAAATAAATGAATTAAACATTAGAACAAAATCATAAATGCATTATTAGTAGCACATATATTTGTGTATAACACACACTGACAAAAGAATGAATTACCCTAAAAAGTATGAAGAGACTCTCTTCTTTTTTTTTCTCTCACTCACTTTCTATCCCCCTATACCTTTCTTTGATTTTATTTCATTAATAATGATTCATCCAAACATATGAGGTTATAGTAGGGGGGAGAGAGAGAGAGGAGAGAGAAAAATGAAAAGGTCTAAAGGAGAAATAACTATTGAGAAAGAATGAAGTATATAAATGAATGAGTTCTTCTACCCACAACTTACTAGAGAATGGTCATTGATTCATATGAAGATGACTGTGCTTACCACATTCCAACACTTCAAACTAGGAGTCCTAGAATATTGTTACATTGGAGAGGGGACTAAAGAGAGGATGGTTAATATATAGTTTTCATTTAACACTACCAACATAGTTTAATATGTAATATTAATAGTTTATTTATAGTTTTACCATGTTACTCCGCCATCTTCCATTCGCTTTTAGTTGTCTACTTTTCACACCTCTTCAAAAACAATATTTAATACGAGATTAAAAACAATTTTTTTAATGTTTTCTTGATATTTTGATCTCACCTATATATAACAAAGAGGTTATCTATATATACTCATAGTAAGTGTAATGTATAATAAATAGTGAAATAGAGTAAATAACATATTGTAAGGGGTTAGAAAGTAGATTATAAGCAACATATAAATTAGTGAGTCCTTATAATAAAGGCCACGAGTGTCTTTACTATAAGAAAAGCTAGTGGTCCTTTTTAAGTCTTTGAACTAAGACAAACCTACAATTCCAATTGGAAAGAATCCATTATTTTTTACCACCCCACACTAGGTAGTAGAAGTAGGGTAGTGTAGCCCCAAAACAAAAGGGTCCAAAGGGTAACCCTACAAAAAAAATATATATGTCCAAGTTGAGATGTATTGGAACTCTCTTAAATACCTCGTAGAGTGTAATACATGACACCCCAAAGCCCAGCATTCCCACACTACTCAAATCATCTCATTTTTTTTCTCTTTGTTCACTCGTGCAATCACTTGTATATTCATCCACACCACTCAATGCCATAAATCCACCCATATATGTCAAAGTATGATCAATACGGAATCAACCACAGATAAAATTCAATTCAGTAGTTGTATAATAAAAATTACATGTAAATATCATTTAGCTAAGAAGTTAGTGATCGATGTACAATTAGTTCAAAGTTATTACGCGATTGATAGATTTCGTAGCTAATTTCATATTCTCTAGCTAGAGTACTATATAACCATATTGTAACAAACAACTACTATATATTTCATAGCTAATTTCATATTATGAAGATATCTTAGGATAAAAAAGAACCATATATTTCGTATTAAAATTCCATTTACCAAAACGAAGGGAATGTTTTCGAAATAACACACTAGTAGGAAGTAAGGAAACTTTCTTGATTAAAGTTTTATAGATTACTCAGTTCTCCCTAAATAATATGATCAATTCTATACATACATTAATATATTCATTCCATTAGATAAAAAAACTACAAACAGAAAAAATAAAATGTAGAAAATCAATCAACATATGGAAAGTTGTAGTATTATCTAGACATCTATGTTATAAGAAGGTTAAATGTTTTCCGCTTAACTAATACACGATTTATAAATAGGGGTTTATATAAAATAAAACAGTAGAACAGCTATGATATATATTAAAAATACAGATATTAAAAAAAATCAATTTATTGTGTTACTATATATATATATGTTATGTAGATTAATAATTTTAAAAAATGCAGCAATAAATGCTATGCTTTTTTATCATTAATATAGGAGTTTGTTTAAATGCGTAACGATGAAAGAAATAGTCAGGGAGTGGATCCCAGAGTAGAAGCCCTAATGCATGTGTACGGATATACAATAATTTATCCGACATATTAAATAATTAAAGTACCTTCACAATAGTAAAATTTACTCTTCTAACTATTCTTTTCGTCTTAATTTATATGATACATATATATATAATTAATTAAAAAAAACACATACATATTTCTTTATTAAATTAATATTTAATATCATCTTACTTATTTGACAAAAAATTACAAAATTATGTAACATACTTCACTTTTAGCCTATCTAAGATAATAATTTCATTTAAAAAAGTATACTACTCTTAAATAAGATGATTTAATCAGATCAAAAATTTCAAAAGTCTTTTAAAAAAAATTCATATCAAATTAAGTAACATCACATATATTAATACAGATGAAATATTAAATTTGATTTGTGTTTCCAAGTAGAATTGTGTTGACCATCTAATTGGAAATCGCACTCGTCAAAATATAAAAAGATTATTAAATGGTTATAATTTTATTTTAGTACATTAATTAAATATTTGTATTTGCAGTGCATGTCGACTGCAAACTAGAAGATTATACTGCCCTGCACAACTCTATTTGTTTCTGTGCCTTCTGTCTTCCACTCAAAACCTTAGTCTTAGTCAAATAAACAAAATTTCAAAGACCATCATTAATAATTAACCATTACGTTTTTCAATTAATTAACCAAATTAATTAACATATGGTTAATTAAGCAACTATATGTAATACTGATATTTTTAATATCCAAATCATACGCCGACCTGCTAAACTATATATTTTGGTCAGGTGATCTAAAAACTCTGCCCCATGAAATCCTAGTGAATGTCAATATTTTATATCAGTATAATTTAATTTGTTATAATAAATTATCATTCGATATTTAATATTTAGTTCAATTAACTATGAATTTTTGATGAACCACTAATATATGTATGAATTATTTTAGAATAGTTGTATGTAAGTAGGAATTGTTTTTATTTTTGTGAATTTAAGGGGAAAATTCCACTAAATTGTGACACTTAGTTTTAACACATGGTTACTTATCCAATTTAATTAATAAAAAGTCTGACATTATTTTTTTGTTAGATTGTTTGGAAACTCTGCTTCCCACTGTCTAACAGAGATTCTTTATAAAAGCAAAATGTCCCTTTTTTGACTGTGAAAGTACTAAAAAGTCTAAAGCTTTAGTTTCCCCTGCTATAATATAAAAATCAAATGCACACCTGAAAGATATTACTCTATTGATATTTTGTATTGTTGTAGACATTTGTTACAAGAATGTTAGATATTTAGTTATTCTGATTTTATAATTTTTTATGTAATTTTTAAATATGCAAATTTAGTTTCAAAGAAATTTAAAGTTTATATATATAAATTCACAATTAAAGTTTAACAATTGAAAAGTTTAACTATATCACAAACTAGAACACAGAAATATTCGAAATTACATGAAACAAAAAGTAGGAATGGTAAAAACAGTATATGTAAATCTACTAAATAATACTGCACTTTTGGATAGTTTTTTGAGAAATTTCTGTATTGGTTAGAACTTCTAACATAACCTTTTAACTTAATAAGTATGCTAAGTGTCAAGCCTAATACTCTACACCAAAGGGATCACAAACTAAGGTTATGACTTATTTTAACCCCCACAACCCACCCCCTCACCCCACCCTCCTTTGGGGTTTGTATGCTCTACAATGTAAACGATTAAACAATCAGTTAAGTATATGGTGCCGTAGATGAGATTATTCCTTTCTTAATCAAAGTTTAAATTTTGAGTATTGAATTTTTTTTATTAAGAAGCGCTAGCTTTTTTTCAAATGGGATCCTATGCAACGTAAATTCAGAATAATATGACTACAATATGGACACCAGACGGATGAAAAAAAAAATGTAAAAGATTAAACACGCAAATGTAAACTATATAGCAACTCTATATGCTTACTGGAAAATATTGCTTAACATATTGTTTTCTCTTACATCTACTTTATTTTAACCTTCGATCACTATTATGATATGTCATTCTAAACACACACAAAAAATAGTGAATCTACATACAAAAGAGCAATATATACACATATAGTAAGCCAAAACCTTTTCTATTTTGATTTCCTTTTTCTTTTTTCAATCTACACGTGTTTCTATATGAAGTATATATACTTCACCATTAACAAAATCAAAATTAATTAATTTAAAGAAGAAAAAGCAGAAAAAATAATACATATTACATAAATAATGAAAGAAAATGAAACTTTTTTAATATTGATGAAATCTGACTTACCAGTAAAGAAGCTTCTTTTTTCCTTACTGAAAAACAATCTTCTTCTTCTTTTTTATTTTTTTTTTAATTTTCTTATGATCTTTCAGTATGTGTAACAGTGCATGTATGTATAGTGTTGGAAAATGTGAAGAAAATGGAAAAGCTGATAAATTTATTTAGGGTTTGATTAAAAAAAAGGACGTTTAATTAATTTTCTTTTATTTGTACTTATTTTAATAGACCGCCCTATGCCCTTTCAGATTTTTCGACTAGGTTCGAAGAAACATAAATGACACGTGTCAGTTTCTCATGCTCTACATTGACTCATGTTTGCCCTAAAAACACCATTTGTTTTTTTTTCTTCCTCTTGGAAATCAGCTTGCAATTAATTTTAATGACTTAACTATTAATCACACTTATGGTGAAAGTGTTTAATTGAGCACATAGTTTAAGAAATAATTTTTTAAAAAAAATTATTTTCTAAAATGTATTATATTCATATAATTCTATAAATCTTAAGGTTTAAATTTAAGTTATTTATAAATAAAAAATTGTGATATTCTTTTAAAAATAAAATAAAAGGCATGACATAAATTGTACTCCTTCTATTCTATACTATTAACTAAATTTTTAACTTTTTTTATTATTTAAAGTAATTGAATTGTTCGAATATAAGATAAATATTTGAAAAAAATTATATTTGCTCTGTCCTTCATTGTAGTTTTATATTTTTTAAGAAATAAATTACACTACTTATGAAATTATATTTATGATTTTACAAAGAAAAATGGTAAAAATTATAATTTGAAATATATCTTTGAATGTTTTTCTATTGATTTATAATTGACTTAATATGAAATAGAGAAAATAATTAAAAGAATAATTTGTTAGGATATACCTATTGAAAAAATCTTTTTGGCATGAAAATTTGATCAAAATAATATTTATTTATTTTATTTTACCTTTTAAAATATTTTATTTTTTTAACTTTAATACTAGCTTTTAACTAAAAAATAAAAGAAATTAGTTTATTTTTTTAAAAAAAATATTATTTTTTTTAATTTTTAAATTAAATTTTCTCGCCATTTCACACTTTCCTAAATTTTTTTCTAAAGAATGTGTTGACACCCTAATATTAATCTAAAATATTCTGAAAGTGAAACTATTATTATTTGTTTAATAAGAAATGGTGTTATCTTCCCCCCTTTTGTTTTCCTCCTCATTAGGGGTTTGGCCATTTATTTCAAGAAAAAAGTTCACTCTATTTTGAAATTGCTGAAGTTAGAATTGTGTTTCATTATATATTTTTTTTTAAAAACAGTGTATTATCTTAAATAGTTTATTTTCTTAATTCACTTTAAT